AGGATTTTGGCCATCTGAACGCGGGCGAAGCCGCGGGTAATGCAAGTATATTATAATTCTATTGTCGATAAAAGTTAAGTGACCTGTGCGTCTCAAAGATATAAGTTCCATAGTTGCCTAACTAGCGTCTAGAACTAAGTCCCAACTTGAAACATTCGAGTAATACCCGACACAGCTCAATGCTTAAGTTTTATTATACGACAACTATCGAGAAAACTATAACGACAATACTTTATTAATATTTCTTTCTATATTGGTAATGTGAAAAAATGAAATGAGAAATATATTTACGTCCTTTTTCAACATAGGAATTTATAAGAAGTTAAGAAGGAGAAGGCACTATATTTTTTGTTTACTCTAAAAATTAAAAAAAATGAATATATACTTTATACTTTTTTATTAAAACATAGACACATATAATATTATAAAAAACATACATATAATGTTACATATCTATCGTTAAATCCAAAAGACTCTTCAGTCGAAAATATCCGTGTCATATTTCAGGCCATATACAGTAGTTGGATTTTCGGCTTCGTTTCACTTATTATTATATTGAATTATAATTAAGCTTAAGAAAGGACAGGCGGTAGCGCTCCTAATGTCATTTGAGTTTCGTCGTCTTGGAGGTCGTTCACCATTGCTTGGCTTTTTTATGTACATATGATAGGTAGGTATATGTTTTGAAAAATCTATACTTATAATAAAATTGTAACCAAGCCGAATCTGTACATTAAATATTTTTTTGGAAAATCTTATTGAAATAGACACTATTATCGATACAGAGGCCGAATCTATAATTTTTAGAATTTTTGTCTGTCTGTCTGTTACCGCATCACAGAAAAACCACTTGACGGATTTTGATGAAATTTGGTATGGTGATAGCTGGTTATCCGGGTCAACATATAGGATATTTTTTACCGCGGGAAAATGTCGCATTTCTGAGAAAAAATACAAAAAGTGAAATGTAAGAGTATACTAATATGTAAAACCAAAAAAAATGATTTTTGGTCATCTGAACGCGGGCGGAGCCGCGGGAAATGCTAGTTTAATATAAAAATATCACGAAATTTGAAATTATAACATTTATTCTATATAATATATTTATTTATTTTTTTATTTATATATCATTTATATTTCTATCTGTTTGTTTCACCTATCACCTTTTAAAGCTTTAGCCTACGAAAATTGGTAATGGACATAGGCTGTATACTCAAAAGTCTATGTGAATATGAATAAAAAATCTTACTACTATATAAATGCGAAAGTTTGGATGAATGGATGTGTGTTACTCAATCACGCTAGAACGGCTGAACGGATCTGGATGAAATTTGGCAAAGAGATAGATTATAGTCTGAAATAGCACATAGGCTACTTTTTATCCTGGAAAGATGTACGGTTCCCGTGAGACAGATTTGTTTTCGTTTTTCATATTTTTTTTCATTTAACAAACTTTTTCGTTTCTTTTCTTATTTTTTTTTAAGTATAATGAACATGCTTATAGACTCACTCCTTTTTATTCTTATAGATTATGTTAATAAATTTATTTCTACGACGATTTTAGAATTTAAAAGGTATTACAATATGTATGTAGCTATTTACAACATATTTGTTTTAAGGTCTATTCATAATGAACCCCAGATTTCTGCGGGTATTTTTTTAAATCTCGTTTAAACCCCCCTGCGTTCTCTCTCAAAACCTTGCGGACCCTTTACACACATCAATGATTACTAATTCGACTACGCTAGGACAAAAAGGATGTAAGTTAAAAAAATTAAGTAAAAAATTAATTTAAAAAATATACGATTTATTATGTTTTTATATGTTGTAATGAGTTTGTTTATTTATTTATTTTTTATAGCATAATTTACCTAAATGAATTATAATATATCAATGAGAAGTTGAGAACTAATAACTTATAGAATTGTACATTAAACCTAAACGTACCTACTATAATATAGGTATAACCTAAAATCTATAATAAATTCACGTAACATATTTACATCATGCAACGTACTAGAGGTTTCAAAATGATAATGATACCTATACAAAAGTATAGGTATAATTAATATCTTAAAAATAGTTAAGAATGACATATTATGATTCGCTGACTTATAAATTAATTAATTATTAGCCAATTGGCAAAATTGCCAGATTGTGTACAATTTTTAATATTGTAATTCGCAAGCTATTTTAGAATGTCGTCCAGTCTATATCCGTCTATTAGTTAATAATAACTCAAAAACAAATTAGAATTTTCATATAACTTAGAACTTTATGCAGACTTCTTTGCTATCTAATGGAGCCCTCAAAGTCCAATCATTTGAATAGACTGCCTCATGTCATTACTACAACAGATTCTAATTTAAGCAACAAACAAAATAAATCCTTTGAAATTCTAATAGGAAGGCAATGAACACTTTAATCTTTTCCTATCGGATTGGCCGGTAGCTGTCACTTACAGAATGCTTTTAAATGCAACTCTCGTATTGGCTGTTTTAAAATTCCACTTTTATTTGACTGATTTTTTGTTGGCTCGGTCTTATTGGATATTAATTTAAATTGTAATTGCTTTTTGTCATGAGTCGTCTGACATTTGGGTTTACTAGCTAGTGGGTACGGCTTTGTGCGTTGATTGTCGATTTTGTGATTTATCTACATACTTATCTACATATCTATTTAGATCAGATCTATTTAGATTATGTGGAATAGTATTGAGTATGTCATAAACTAAAAAACGTACTCTTGCTGATTTTTCTAATAATAACACAATAAAGCGCGTGCCACTACGTTGTCTCTATGCCGAGAAGAAATTTCCTAAAAATAAATAAAATCGGTAACCTCTTTTTTGTAATATATAAAAAACATTTTTTCAACCAATAAACATAAGTAGGTAGTCGGAAAATAACAGTAAGTATTTTAAAAAGAATCATTTCCAACATGATTGCCACTTGTCATACGGTGAAGGGAAACATCGTGAGGAAATCTGCATGTCTAAGAGAACCTAGCAAGTTTTTGAAAGACATGTGAAGTCCTCCAACCCGCACTTGGCCACCGTGGTGGACTGTGGCCTGATCCCCCTCGTATTAAAGGGAGGCCCGTGCCCAGCAGTAGGACGTTAAAAAGGAATTACGAATACATACATACATACATTTTAAAAAGTATTCAATATGTGAATCAATCAATTTCATGACATGTTAAATTATTAATTACAAAATTAATATTAATCTTAATAATTATTATTACTAAAACCAAATAAGTACTAATACTAAAAATGAATAAGGGTAAAAATATAATAAGAGTAATTAATATATTTTATTATTATTAATATCTTAGTTTTTTTGCTAAGTGGAGTTTATTTATTGTAGAAAGAAGTACTTATTTACAAGAAGCGTTGACCAATCGTGATCGTAATCCAATTAGACTATCGTAAGTTAAATCTATAAGAAAATGAACAAAATCAATACATAATCCTTTATAAGAAATTATATTCTAGCTTCTATTTTCCTTTTTCTAGTAAGTCATTTTTTATCCCGACAAGATTTTATTCCACTAATTAATTATATTTTTCAATTTATATATATATATATATATATATATATGTATATGTATAATATTGCTATATTTGTCTGTTCATCGATATTTTCAAATTCTTACGTCTTTCATCGTTATCTCTATACTAAGCCGTTCAAATCCATATTTTTGTATGGATCAAAAAATATACATTTTGTATCGAATCAAAAGCTTTTAGCACTAAATGTATGGTGGTTTAAACGCACCTGTGCGAGTACATTACCTTCCATTAGCGCAACACGGGATTAAACCCGTCCGTTACACCGATAGTTTGCATTCACTTTGTATTTTAAAATATTTACATTTTTTTTTTTTAATATGTAAGCTTCATAAGAGCTTTTATAGCGAAATAATTAAGATAAAAGCTGTAAATCAATTTTATTAACATTTGCCAATTTTAATGCCGTTTATTTCATATATGATATTTTCATATAATATACATACTTAATTTATACAAAATACTAAATTTCGGAATACCTATAATATTCGTCTACAGCAAACATAAAGAAATAAAATATAAAAGAAGTCACTTGTTACCGACAAAAACGTAAATGTCCAAAGAGAATCGATTATGATCCTAATATCTAAAGAACTGTGAACACATTTGTGAATTTCCAACCCCCACCCCTGCGTTACAGGGAAAAATATATTTTCCCCGTTGCTTGGCAACAAGAAAACAGATAGATATTATTATCTAGGGACGCCCCGCGGCATCGTCTATATACATTATACGTATAACAAAGATCCTACGTGTTAAAATGGGCATATAGGCTATATTTGTGTGAGTTAGGTTTTTACGCATGCGTGCTTTTTCACCGAAAGTAGATAGATATTGGGGTTTTTAGACCCTCAGGGGTGAGTGGGGAGGGCCTAATCTGTGTCCCTTTGAGGCTCCCGATTGGAATTTAGTAATCATATTAAATTTTAAATTACACGTGCTTGAAAGTTAAAAGGGCGGGGAACGTTTTGCAATTTGTTTCCCATTAGATAGTTATTTAGTTGGGCGAGATTGGGACGGGTGTGTAGCGTTGGATACACTGAATACGACCAACTTTATGTACGAAAGTTCGTGTTGTTCCTCCATATTGTCCGACTGCTTCTAATCGTTTCTTTATTACTGTTTGACCTGGGATTGCTTTATCTTAATATTCTATTTCAATTTAATATTGATTTTGTAAAGTTTTGCAGTTACATAACGTGTTCTTTAAATTAAAAAATAATAATTTATATACGTACAAAATTATGTATTTTAATCTTTTTTAAATGATTTAATGTCAATATGTAAGTTTAAATAATAAAGAGAACAACAATATCTATACATACATTTTTATATTGCCTTATATACAATATATACATATATAAATAACTTACGAACTTAACAACCACAAAATACGATTTAAGCAACTAAATTTAATTTAAAAATATAGGTATCATCAATCAACCGAGTGCTAAGGAACTTGGCGTCTCAAAAGGAGCAGGCTGCGTCTGCGCAGAATGACAGCGTGTATGAAAAGCTGAGGATGTTTAACGGTCAGGCAGCCACGGGATGGTGGTACCCAGGCCTGCCTACCGCTCCCGCCGCGCCAACGCTACCTGCACCACTCCCACCACAGCTAAATAGGCCGAATACTGAAGAACATAAGAGGGGTAAGTTATTTTAAATGCTTTTTAACTAAAAAGTATCTATATCGAGTAATGTTTGCACCCTTATTAATGGTTTTTTTAAAGCCATGTAGAGTCAATTGTGTATGTTATTGAACTTTTTTTAGTTTCTTAACATAAATGTAAAAGCCAAATTTACAAGTTTTGAAAAATTTATATTTTTTAAGCATTAAAATTCCTATATGTATAATGTATATTGTTCTTTATTTACGACTTTAATATGTTGAAATAAAATACTTATAATATGCACGAGTCTATTAGAAATTACACTGATACGTTTTAATTCACATCAAAAAAACAAATTTTCAAAAGTTACTTTTATGTTGACAAATATATTAAAAAGGCCACTAAAGCTTATATTTAGAACGTATAACAACGGCAGGCACCTAATAGAGGTCACGACATGACAGCGATGTCCTTTTTCCCGTCTGCTTTGAGCTGAACTAGACTGAATGCCTGAAACCTAACTAGGGCTGGCAAGTGCCAATTAGGTACTAACATATTATTGTGTATAAATGTTGTATTAAAGTTTAAATGAATCAGTTACTGGTCTACATATATTTGATTGTACGTATGTATGTACATACATAGATTTAATCTATAAAATGGTATATAAATAGATATTTTTATATTCATAACCTACAAGTATATTTATATATAGTAAATAATTGGTATATTTATTTATATATAAATTAGATATATACTGAATATATTTCACAACAAAATCTTAGTTTATTTAATCTATATCTCTAAATTCATCATCCCTGGTTTATAACATTCGAATACTTATAAAACAATCGATACACGAAAATGGAAGTATCATAGCCCTGAAGAGGATGTAGCTAGGTGAAGGGGGTGGGGGGAGGAACCAACGTTTCTTCGTTCGTCTTTGTGGCTTCTAAGATTATGCCTCTTTGTTCCTTGTGTGATGTTCGGTTTTACGTTATTACGCGCGGATTTGTGAACTAAATACTCTCTTACTCGTACAAGTGTTATGTAAAATTGGCTGATCAATATATGTATTTATCCTAATTGATTATATTAAATGTTCTCAAATTAAAGAAATAATTTTGTTACATCAAATTTACTAGTTAGATTTTAGTAAAAAATGAAATATTTTTGTTAGTGTGTAGAGTGTATAGTAGAATTGTCAAGTTTCAAAAGAAATTCAAGTTTTGCAGTAAACTTATACCAACAATAGCATGAATTTGATAATCATACACTATTATATTAAGTTATTACAAAACAAAAACAAAAGTTATTTTTCTATAAAAAATCTTGTCTATATTTAATTTAAACTAATATATAGGTACAATATATACATATAACTTTTTATTATTGTTTTTGATTTTGCGGCTATAATTTAGAAGATCCATATTTTAGAAGTATAAATGAAAATATTTTATGACTACAAATTACTACAACTAATGTTATATGTATCTAAACTCTATCATTGAAAACGCATCTATTGAATCCTTATTTCCTATTCTCCCGCGCGCATCTCGGAGTGCGATTTCTCGTAAAACCAACCACTTTCGTTGCAAATTCAATGTTTACAACTAAACGCTCGTTTAGATCCTTTAGAGATAATAAATTTGCTGGTGAATTTATTGGCCTTAACTGCTTCATATGTAAATGCTTAAGAACTAGAATATTCATTTAAAAAAATATATATATATATATATATATATATATATACAGCCTGTAGTAATATTGGGCCCTGGTTTTTTATACTATTATAAAATTTACTCTAAAAATAATAACGTAAAAACAATAAGTATTGCCAATTATACCAAAAAATCATATATAGTAGTAAAATATAAATACGTTATATCTTGTCTAAAAAAGGTTTTCTTTTTTTTTCTAGATTTTAAAAATGAAATTATAGATACACGTAGAGTCGGTATTTTTTGTATACAGAGATTTAACATTTTTAAATGATTCAAAAAGCAACACGTATTATTAAGTTAGTATTTTATTTTAAACATTCGGTGTAAACATTAAAGAACAAGGTCCACATAAGCGTGTCGCTTATAAATGAGGACACGTCCCGCTCTATGCACTTTGACGCGGCACTTCGCCCCGCGCGTGACTTGAAAGATAGTACTTTTCCAAAGGAAAATTATATATCTTTTCCTTTAAGCCTACTTTTTTAGGAAACTATTCTATGTGCTTATTATTTTGTTGGATATTTAGAACGTTTGATATGTTTAACATGGAGTTCCTCTTCCACATTATCTTTATTGATTATGATTATTTAACGTCCCACAACTGGGCCTAGGCCTCCCAATACAAGGAGGATCAGGCCATAGTCCACGCTGGCCAAGTGCGGGTTGTCGGATTATATTATTTATTATGATTATATTTCTTATTTATTCTAAAAGCTATAAAGTAAAAAATGGATGAACTTAAATTAAATCCAATCATGATTTCTTTGTTTAATTCTATATTGGTACTTCAGAAATATACTTATTATTTAACAAACTTGATAAAGTATTAGAAGGAATATCAAAAACAGCAATTTTAGCAGAATAGTGCGATTCTTTTAATTAACTATTATTTTAAATTATCGGTCTATTATACTAATACGAAAGATTGTGTGTATGTGTGTGCGCGTGTGTAGGTTTGTTACTGCTTTACGCAGAAACGGCTAAAACGATTTGGGTGAAATTTAATCCACGGACTTATGATCTGACAAACATATAGACTTATACATACTTAGAGATATACTTTAGGCACACAACAAGTCTTAAATCATAAGTAAGAACTAAGTTTAGTTAGAGTTTCAGTTATCTTTCTCCGCGACCTTACATGGCTTGACCTGTAAGTTCGGGAGACCAGCTCCAACAAAGTAACTGCGGTGTGACTTTAGAACTAAACTCTTCCTTTAACTTCTCACTTGAAAACGGATAAAACTATATTGAAGCAATAACATATTCATTTTCTTTATATAGACGATAGCTTTTTTCTTTGTTTATCTACTTTAGAAAAAAGTTAAATTTAAGAAGTTTCTATGATCATCTTGAGAATTATGTATTAAATCTTTTTTGTTGCAAATTTATGATCGGTACATAATATTTATAGTAAATTCATTTAATCATTGTAATGGAATAAATCTTAATCTATTTTATATCATAATGACAGACAAAATGTCCAAGTAATACAATGTTCATTAGTTTATATTAATAACAAGTCACATAATACTTTCTTAGATTTACGCGAACGTTTGACATTTTTAAATAAAACTATACAGACAGCCTACCCACAATCTGTAACAACTATACCTTCAAGACATGTAACGTTAACCTCAGTCTCTCCCGTGACCATGGATGCTGTAAAGCATTCAAAACGTCGGGAAACAAAAATACAAATAAATCCGCGAAATAATCCGAAAAGATAGTTTTATTTAATAATATATTTTACATATTAACCAACTTCAATTTTCATATATAAGCAAATAAGTTGGAGAAAAATACAATTTAATTTTTAATAACTTCAACTAAAATCGAATTTATAAAAGCAGTGACGGTGGAAGTTAAGTACAATATTTTAAAATCCCTAAATTTGCTGTCTTTAGAAATAGAATAATATCTTTAATGTTCAGTTTTACAAAGTAATTCTTATTGGAAGTTATATTTTAAAGACTTATCGTATCGAGCTCTAACAAAAACCCAATGAGAATCTTTAGCTAATATTAAATCAATTTGTTATTCTCTCTATATTGATATTTCGATATCAAAAAACAATAACAGAATTGATCAATTAAGCTTTTTTTGCGCGCAATGGCCTACAAATTTTTAATATTCAACGCAGTGTTGGTTCACGGGTCGGCGGGTGCGGCCAATGTTCCCAAAGTATACGAATAAAAACAAAATGGCTGATGTTTTTCATTCCGGACGAAAAAAAAGTGATTGACGCAGGCTGTAAATTTTCATTCCTTTTTTTCCATAAACATTGTGAGTATAAAACGTGACTTGTATGGATTTTGACTTTTTAATTATTGTAATGAAACGTACATCTATTTTATTTTGCTCTACATTCTGAAAATTACCGATTAATAGCATTTCTAGCGTGGCAACATTTAATCTATCATGTTTAGTCAAAACAAAATATTATAAATAGTTTAATGAAGCTTAAATAAGTTGTCTGTTACAGTAAATATTTGTTCAAAATTGATATGAAAACGTGGAAAATGTTGATATTTGTTGTGTTGCGGGCTAGTTCAAATAATTGTACAAATTGCTTGTACACACCGGTTTAGAACATAAACAGTTCGGACTCGGCGGTCAGGCGCCACGGCCGCACAATTGCACTAACAAATTAACTGCGATATTGGAATAAACAGATCGACACTAAATTATTAATGTGATAGATACTATGATCAACTTCACTTCGCCTATGCGGCTATGTACATATAATAAAATTGTAACTAAGCCGAATCTGTACAATAAATATTAAATATCTAATCTCTGAGAAATTGATAAACTAAACGTTAAAACGTAAGTAGGGACGAACCCGAGCAAAACGAGGGTGAGTCGCTAGTATATTATATATGTGTAACCAGCGACTTAACCTCACTACATTCAGTGTCTTTTATATTTGTAATATTATATACAGACAGTGCTACCTTTTAGCAAATTTAATTAGTCTATATGTTACTTCACGTCATACAAACTTTCGCGTTTCACATTTATATATAGTGTGATTAGGCTTGATGAAGAATTCTACAAAATTGCCGTACATTTCGTTGTTTTTTATTTAACCTCAAAAAAAAGACATAAGCACGCTAATTGCAAAATAAAATTGGATATTCTCTCAGAATACAAAACAATTAAAATTAAGATAACCGAGAGATTATAATAAATATAATTTAATTATCACGATTAATCTAATCTAACTTAAACATTTTATAATTAGGCAAGAAACAAAAGTATGTAGATTTCGAATTTCTTTATTGTTACAACTTTAACCAAAACCTGGTCTCTATATGAAAATGCATAACAAAAAAATATTCACATATTTAACAGGTCATTGATTCACAAAAACAAATAGAGATCGTTTTTATTTGTGCAGACTGCCTCCCCTTGCCAGGTGCTACATCATTCGTATTATAAACCCGTTATAACAGAACTATCGATTACACACGAGTACTCGATTGTAGCTATGAAACAATAGCTTTTTAATCGAGCCATTCAATGTGCAATCGACTTTAATTCAAAGGCCCTCAATGATCAAAGTGACAGTTAAAAAGTTAACAGCTTAGGTTTCCCACTTGGGTTGTTTCAATCTACTAGATACTCATTTACTGATTTAAATTAGATTTCGTTTTTAGTAATTTGAAGTAAGTTATTTGAACTAATAATGTCAGTGTTATACCATATTTACTTTTATATATTCTATTTTGGATTATTCGAATTAGATATATATTATGTAAATAGCTCTTCTATACTGACGGACGTATCGAATTAGTATCTTTACAATTTTTTCTTAAATAAATTTAATATAATAAAAATTTCACAAATAATACTTTGAAAACAACAGAGAAATTATCCATAATAATTTCTTATAATTAAAAATTCGAAAGACCCACGACGTAAAATTATGTTTTATTTGTGGCCTTTTTAAATTTTAATAGTAAATACATATATATATTAAAGTACCTTATTTTTACTTAAATAGTAAAGAAAAACGTTTTGGAGAAACATCTGTACATTGTAGCGCCCCCTGGTCTGTAACATTATAAAGCTTAGCTAAGAACATGCTTAGGAATGAGATTTATACAAATGGAATGGAAACCGCTGGTAAAAAATAAATATACATTATACAAATAAAAGCAATATCTAAACGATTCGTAATTACCAGGGAACGACACACGATAGAGATGTACCCAACGCTCCCCTGATACAAGACATCAATTGACTCTCACTCCAACTCACAATAATAAAAACTAAACCTTATCTACCCCACTACTAAGTAATTTAGATGACCCTGCAGGGGATAGATGTTGATTACAAACAACCACTCAAAATGAGCCCTTCTCTCCTTCGTATAGTATTACAGTTAATACGAGTCGTATTTTTGTAAAGGTCAAATAAAGCTGGTCGATGTTTGGTAATAATGGTTTATTAGGACGGGCGGAAAAGTGGTCGTACGAGCCATTAATTTGCTATAAATTGTAAGTAAAATAGACTGTCGAATGCGAATGACACATGTCCTAATACGGTTTTACGGTTTTTTAAGATCGTGTACTCTTATATCTAAAATATATCTATTATCTATAGATATTTGCGACACGTAGCTATGAGTATAATCTATCTATCTATATAAATAAAAATTAATCACCGAAATGTATCGAAATATAGTATGTACCGCGCATAACTTCGGATCGACTGCACCAAATTGGTTAATTCTTTTTTTTTCTGTTTGTTATTGTCAGGAAGTATTGTATAGAAGAAAATTCAAAGTTATTGTTTACTGAAATAATATTAGAGAGAAGATTTTCTTAAATCTCATGATATGAAAAGTGAGTGAGTGAAATAGATTTATCCCGGAATCATCCCCTAAGGGGGTGAGAATGAGGATGAAAGTTTTTATGGGGAAGCAAGCTAGGGACGAACCCGAGCGAAGCGAGGATGAGTCGCTAGTATAAGGATATAATTTAACAGATACAGATAGAATATATAGACAGTATATATAGACAGACAACAGATAGAAGATGTTCTATTCTTTTTTATAACTGATAATATAACGAGTTATAAGATAATTGCTTTACAGTTAATTAAATATATCCGGATTGATTACGCAGAATTGACTTCAATTGTTTACGTTTTAACCATATTTAACTCTAATTATTAGATAACATCTTACTAACTGACAGGTAAATGTTTTTGCTTTAATATATCATACATAAATCTAAATTATACTAATTGACGTATATACCTACCGTGATTATTTCTGCTAATTTGAAAAATAAGCTTGTTAGAACGTAAAAAACTGCAACGTAATATATATTTATTTATTTGCTGATATTTTTTTTATGCTTTGGCTACTAAAAATGGTGAAAATCTGAATTTTCTCTCGACTCAGCTTTTCATAGAGCTACCCAACGTAGGTCTTTCTTAATAAGATTGAAGACATTGAATACAAATGTTTACACTATGCGGGATTCAAACCAACTACCATTATACATAATATTAGTATTTAAGATAATATAATTGTACCTATTAACACACCTTTTACAAATAACGTATTGTAATATCAATTTGCAAACGTATTTGGGAGCGTGTCGAATTAAGCGAAGTGCGTCTTGTCCGGCCGCGGGCTCGTCGCGAGCGTTTTAGTTTGGTATACGGCATGGGCGGTAGCGGGTTGTGATTTTGATTTTATAGGGTTTAGAAGAAAATAATATTATAAATTAAAATAAAATGATTATGAAAATATTTTGATTGTAAAGGAAGCAGGGCTTATGAAGAGAGCTTGTTTTTATATATTTTTTACAATTAAATTAATAATTGTATATGACTTTTAGACATTTCTAACGTTTTGGGTTAAATAAACATATAAAATATTACGATGAATGCGTCAGTAAAGCTTTCTTATTGTATAAGTAAGGTATATAAGTACAGTTAAAACTTGATAATTGGTCATTATAATGTCTTATCTGTCAGACTAATATAAATGCGAGAAGTTTTTATGCGTATATATGTGTGTTTATTTTTTACTCCATATTGAAACGGCTCAACAGATTTGGGTGATATTTATTACACACACATAATCTGGATTAACATATAGGCTACTGTGTACCTATGTGACGCATTTGAGCGAAGCAAGAGTAACTCACTAGTAATGACATGAGGTACTTATAGTAAAGTTTAACAATAGTCAATCCCGCGCCCGCCGTCCGCCGCCCGCCTACGCTTACACTGCAGATTCGCGGCGGCTCGCTTGAGTGATAGTATCGATCCACATAATCGCCCCCACCTACGCCACGCCGCGCCGTCCGCACCGATAGCTTCAATTCGCTTTATCTCGTCACTCTCCGTTCCCGTTTCTTCCCCTTTGTACTTATTTTCTCCAATTTTTTCCACCCCCACTTTTATATCTTTTATTTTTCTACTATTATTTTCTCTTAGGTATTTTTCGCCCGCCCGTATCAGAGTTATTCCTTCGATCATTTGTGGGTCGTTATTGGTGAGATTGTGGCTAAGTGCTAGCTCTCGGGGCGGTTTTTTAATGAATTCCTTCTTTATGTTCGCGATAAATAACGATGAATGAAAAATATTCATCTTGGTAGCTCCTTTGAGAAAGTATCGTATCGTAAATAAGTCCGCGTGTTCGTTAATCAAGCTTAAAGTGTTTCTGAGATTTTGCTCACGAACTTCGGTGAAACATGTGTCCTAAGTTTTAAGTCTTATTTACAGACCCCGTTCAGTTATAAAGCAAAGCTCTACGCTACTTCAGTGTACTTAAGTTATTTCCATCAGGCATTACAAGTATTTGTTTTCCGTCATCGTCTACTTGTACGAACTACTTATTTAGGGTGATTGACCGCTCTTACTTAGATAACTATTAACTAACTAACTTTAAAAATAATCTTATGATCGATTTAACGTTCTTTCTATCACTTTGATATCAATACAAGAATAACAAGTTAAATTCAAATTCTATATTTGAACTTCATTTGTATTACGAGCATGTAACACACTCATTAGATGATAAGGGCGCACGCACACCGCGATCAATCACAATTGTCAGCTATCGGGAAGTATCCGCGTCGCATCAATCATGCGGTACACGTCGCGTGAAAGTTCCATACACGTTTAAAACGAGATAAGCATTCAAATCTGCAATGTGTTTAAATATTAAGTATAAAAAAATAAGTATATATCTTGTTTTTTATAAAGCATAGCTTAGATATATGTCCTTGTTATTTATTCATGTTTTAATTTTGATGTAAGTTAATTATTTAGGTTGCCTAGAGTGTATAATAGGAAGAAAAGAAAACCCAAATATTAGTGTTTAGAAATTATATTGTAAAACTTCAGCGATGTAGGTACTTCTTATATGAGAAATTCATAGATAGTCCATATAATGCGTCTTATCCATTAGGAAAATTAGCTCCCGCCCACGTCTTTGCGTATTATTCGAAAAATGTGACAGATTGTGTAACAGGCCGGCCTTTCATAGCCAGCAAGCCGTGCGGCTATTACCGAGTCGGGAATCGAACTCGCTCAAGTGGACCGACCATAAAGCAAATTAATCAATTAGCTGAGGGCATGTCGACAACATTACGAGTAACGTTTAATTTTGACATCGCCCTCAGGGAATGCGTTTAGTGTAAGTAGACCCTTAATGATCTCTGGGGGTAGGGAAGCTGGGGCTCAGGATGACTGGTTTTTTTGAAGTTTTTGTCTGTAATTCTAGGGTTCAATTGTGCAATTCTGCTGATGCATTCGCTTGATAGTCGTCATCGTTTGGTTCGAGTGTTGTGTTGATAGTTTATGATGAAGAGTCACAACCCCTTAGATACATTTGTTAATAGTACCGTTTTAAAGTTATTTACAACTCCATTGTTTGTGGTGTAATGGAGCGAACATTATAAATATGGGTGCAGTAAAATTTTTTATTCGATTTAATAGTTGTAAATTATTGGGCTTTACATATGGCGTGTTTAAGTTATATCGTATCTACGAGTATTTGCCATATAACATTTTTATCTCGGTATTCTTAATTTTTTTATTTATTAAGTACAACTATAAAAACAATATATATATACTTTAAACATTTATAAAGTTAGTTAAAAGCCTACCAAATTAGATATGTATAAGTTAATTTCTCGAACAAGGTAGTAGGTACTCGTTTAAGTTATTATGTTAGTAATTTACTTAATTTTTTTTATCAGATACTCTGCAATCGGAAGCCGGGTCAGATGGCAATAGTGAGCATGCGTCATCAGGCGATGAAGACTCGCAGATGAGATTGCGGTTGAAGAGAAAGTTACAAAGAAACCGGACCTCCTTCACAAACGACCAAATCGATAGCCTTGAAAAAGGTATGGATAAATTGCAAATACACAATAAGTTTATTTAGGTTTTTTATTTATATTAGTATCTATATAAATAAAATGCTATTTGCTAAAAAGTAACCCATAAAACTGAGAAAATTGGGAGCATTTCAAACTAAAATTTGGACATAATAATATCGGGTCAGATATATATCATATACTCTTCGACAAATATATAGTGAAGCTACATTGTACCACTTATCTCATATTTATAGTAATGGACTGATTTTTTGTGATGTCGATTGTGATGACGATGTGAATTCTCTAATTAGATTTTTTCATTGTATTTAGATTTCGTCTTAAGTATTTACAAGACGTTTGAACTATAGATATATTCATATACTCAGACTAAAGAATAGACAGAGTGTCATAAAACTAAATATGAAGGTAAACAATAATGTTTTAAAATAATACCTACAAAATGTGTCCAAACAGTATATAAATCTTAATAAAATACTAATTACTGTAATAAGCAAGGGTTAATAAATTATAGCTAATGTGTTATAATAAACAAAAAAATAAATTAATATGCTATGTATCTTTCAAGGGGAAGAGAAATAATGCTCAAATAATATAGTATTATTTTTGCTATTCATCATTATTCATATTTTCTTCTAAAGAATTATAAATTAACGACTAATCTGTACAGATAAATAAAATTGAAGTGTCTGTTTGTAATGTCAGAATAACAGCGTTTTACTAAATGCATATGGATGTATACACGGTACATATACCAAAACAACATTTATTATAATTTTTGTCTGCCTGTCTGTTTGTTCCGGTTAATCTCTGATATGGCTGGACCGATTTTGACAGGACTTTCACTATCAGATAGCCGATGTAATAAGAAGTAACTTAGACTATTTTCATTTTAGAAAAAAATAGGGTCCCACAAAAAAAATTGAAACCAATGAAAAATTTAATAATATCCGATTCAAATAGGGAAGTTGTATACATACACTAAGGACGAACCCGAGCGAAGTGAGGGTGAGTCGCTAGTACCTATATAAAATTTCCCTTATTATTTAAACAAAGTAAACGATATGTATGGCAAAATCGAAGATAGTAGTATAAACAACAAAACACGCTACTATTTTTGACTTTGACATTTATTGTGGCGTACTACGTCTTTAATCTGAGTTCATATATTACAAAATTTTAGATATTTTACATTACACTTGCTAGTCTAGTTTTTATATGTCAAATATCTCAAATAGACTAATACGGTCGAGTACCAACAGTACAGCTAAGAGTCACGCAAGCGCTCCCCCGGGCCTTCATAAACCAATTTGGTCCCTTTCATCTTATTTATTATTTGCAATAACAAGTTATTAGTAAATAAATAAATATTGTCCCTCCTGTTTGCACAGCTCTCGGCCGGTGGCACGGACAATTATAGTGCCGTGTTAATCTCAGTTTTTGTTATTTGTTTGTTTGTGTTGCCATTCTATCGTCTTATTGCTTTAGTTATTGCTATTTCATTTATATATTTTCTTATGAGTTTGTTCTGGGAATTTGGGGGATACGAGTTTATATATTTATTCCAGATATGCGGAGGTTTCCATATTCTGTCAAATCTATCCTTTTCCGAATAACATATCATGAGTTATATTTGTAAGAGCATATAAATTACATTCTGAGAAACGTTTGTAACTTTCAAAGCGTTTTTCAATTACACACATTTCTTAGCTAATTTAAATAACAAATTATTTAAAGTAGACATTTTAACATTCATAATTAAATCAAAACCTCTGTCCACAGAGTTCGAGCGCACGCACTACCCGGACGTTTTCGCGCGGGAGCGGCTTGCTGAAAAGATTGGATTGCCTGAGGCACGTATCCAGGTAAAATAAACTCCAATACACCGGTAAGGTGGCTGTATTGTCTATGCCTCGTTAACTAACCGGTACTCTATGGTTTACACTGACATTTACTTATTATGTAAGTACTTTAATCTGTCTTATTAATCAACTTATAAACTAACTTTAGCTATTTTTATTTAACTTATGATATACTAGCGACTCATCCTCCCTTCACTCAGGTTCGTCCATAGCTTGATTCCCCATACAAACTTTCATCCCCATTTTCACCCCTTTAAGGGATGATTTTCGGGTTAAAAAGTATCGTATATCCTTCCCAGGGTCTCAAACTATCTTCTTAAGAAATTTCATCTAAATCGGTTCAGTAGATCCAGAGATTACCCCTTACAACCTTACAAACTCACAAACTTTACCTCTTTATAATATTAAAGTATAGATTAGAAATTTTTATAAAATTAAATAAAACATGACACAAGGGTGCTTTATTAAAAACGGACGTCGATGCGTTCATAAGGGTCTGTTTACACTGACTGTTTACATAGGCGCGGGCCGCATGTAGATGCGTCTTTAGCAAACACACTAAAAAAACAAGGGTATTATATAAACCCAAGCCGTTGTTCAAATGTACATAGCGATATATAGCTTTAACAAATAACTCGGCAATATGTTAAACATGTTTTTATTGTTAAAAATTTTCATCTTCCATGTTTATTTTTTCATATGTACTTATTCATTTTCGGTCATGTATGTAATTAAAATAGGGTAGTTTAAGAGTGTAATTGGAAATTCAAATACATTAGGGAATTAAAATGAATTCTGAACTTGAATGGACATATTAATACTTAGTATGAAACTTTCTCAGTAAACTCTACATTCGTTAAAACAGATATTTTTAAATAATGTTGATTATACTGATATAATTAAAGATTAAATAAATTAACATAAAATATGATAAAGTAGGTGTCGAACTAAAAAAAGTTGAATCTATTAAATCGTAGACATCTCGTTTCACTTAGTCGCCACACTCGGTGTTGCCAACAGTTTAAAATACCATTTATCACGGACAGGAAACTTGGCAACTTTTATAACGGTTTAATGCAATTTTGACTGCAACCTTTTAACTATTTTTAGAGCACTTAGCTGTGGAGCTAAATCGAATTAGTTTTAAAGGACGTCGCTGCCTTAGCTCGCGTTATCAATTTACAATTTATTTAACGGCTTGTATTTCTGTTTGTCGCTCAAAAGAAAAATTCTGAGAATCTATAATGATCAAATTTGTTTGTCAATCAGAGAATCGATTAAGATTTATTCTAAAAATGAATTATTATTTATTGTGTAACTAAAAATACAAAATATAAATAGAATGACAAAATAGTACATTTACATTTTTCTAACTTTTAAGTTGAATATGCTTCTTACTCATATTCTCTATGAAACGCGCTGCACAAATTTAAAAAGTAAGCAAATTAAATCATGAGCAATAAAACCTAGAAATCATTGTGTTCCAAAAAGTACAACTTTCGTCAAACAGCAGTTTTCTTGTTTGTAAAAAACGTAAAAGAAAATGGCGGCGACATTGTTTTCGGCGGGGCTAAGCTCCACATTAACCTCTCGTCGACTGGTAGTTAACATTCGCGACGATGCAACGTACGGTCAACAAGTGCTGTTTAGGGTTGCCAGCCCCCTTAGGGGGAGAGGGAGGCGGTTCAAAAATAACAATCTAGATTATATAGCGATTTTCACGTTTTACCTAGTGGCAATACTGCTAATGCTAAGTATACACTTGTGTATGAAACGAATTCCAAATTGATTTTCTTCTGACAAATTAATGTAATAAAACGTATTGTACGCACATTTTATAATATTACAGTTTTTATTAGTTACTTTAGTTAATGTTATTTTTTAAGTTGAATGATAATGTTTTGAAGAAGAAAACTAGTTTAATTATTTTTCGCTGCATATTAACCTATCATCGGCCATTAGAGCTATTTTGCGAGAGCGCTGCACTCTGTACAGTCAATGAATGTTTAGGGCTGCCTAAGAATGAAAGTAAGACGTTTCAAATAAATGTTAATTAAGTAAGTCAAATTTTTGATAAACAAGACCAATTTTTGAAAATAAGTAATATAAATAACTAACATGAAATAATTTTTTTAAAGCTTTTACAATGAAAGTGATTGCGAGCAAAAACAAAACATTTAATAATTTTTTCGAAAAATTCTCGTAAAATCGACTTATATATTTTGTAAATAACCGTACTTACAAATACCTAATTTATGTAAAGATTCTACGTTTTTATATAACTCACCGACGTAACAGTTCAAACAAGATTACACGAAAAATCCAATTTAAAAGGCACCAACCCTGAATGGAAATTCGGTGTACATATTTCAACCTAGATTGGACTTTAACAGAGAGGGGTAAAGTTGAATTTGTTAAAATCAATATTAAGGCTTTCTAGGAACGTTTTGTATGGACGCCACCACGTGTTGCCCCGGGTTCAAGGCTGAATGTTAGGGATACCAGAATACTAAAACTTAACGGACTATCATTTAACTATATATTTATATATAGCCTGATATAATTAGTTTTAATTTTTAATGATTCTGGTATGTCCATTATCTGAATAATACATCGATCATTAAAAGATTATTTGCTGTCATATATGATAATAAATATTTTTTTATTTATCTTTCTTAACTTAAATGGCTTTAAAATAGTGGCAATGAACTTCCTATTTTTTTTTAACTTTTCTCAAATGAAAAACAATTATTTAAATTAATAAAAATAAATTAATAACTCTTAAAATATTCAGTTACATTATTATATAGATACTTCCTTAAACAAACAAGTGAAACAAATGGTTAATAAAATTTAATCACACTATAAATAAATTGCATATAAAATACTTGTAGGTATGTATTATGTTATAACTTTTCTCTACTCCCCACAGCATCTTTATGCATATTATGAAAACAACTAGGAAAATTATCCTCAATTATTTACATAAAACATAGCCATCGCACAGGGGTCGGGTATCGATCCCACGGCCTATCGCAAGGAGGGGAACCCTCTAGGAGGGGATGTTTTGAAAAATTGGCACCCACGACAAAACCTTTTTACAATTGTCATGCAAAATTCACTCTTAAAGCCTAATGCTAAAGGCCATATTAAAACGATTTGCCAACAAAGATTCTACTGTACTGAAGCGTTATATTTTTCTTTCTATGTAATGGAAACGCTTCTTATATTTACAGGTTTTATTGTCAATGTCAAATATGTATTTTGTTATTGAATTTTATCATATACTTACGTATGTAGATACGAATTATATGTTAAAATATCTATATAAACATTTTTACTGTTATATATGACTTTCGTTATGTAATATTTAATTATATATACATATATTTACAACTTATTGTTATATCCATTTCGATTCATTCATTGAAATACATTATAAAATATATTGTATTTCAATGAATGAATCGAAATGAATACAGTATGTAGTTACTGGTTTTTTATAGTGCAAGAAGGTAATTAATAAATAGTGTTTCAGAGTACTTTCGTTTAAAAAACACTTAAAATAATTGATAATAATATATAGTTTGATGTATCGTATGTATCCTATTGTTGACTATAAAATATTCTAATAAACTTATTAGACGCAATCGTCAACTTGTTGGCGAAATAACAGAATTATGGTAAATCCCATTTAGTGAACCCCTGTAACATTATTTCGACCCAAGTGAGGGTAGGAACAATTTATAAAAGGCCAACGGGAGTGACAGAGGCGGGAAACGGCTGTCATCACTGTCAAGAGAAAATATCTATAGGCAGAATGGGAAAAAAGGAGGAATGTCATAATATTTTACTGTAACGTCGGCGGTGTTCACACGGGGTGAAACGTTTTACGTAAATGGCAGGGTTGTTATGTGAAAATATGAAGAGCCTTACCTCCGACTTATGTACCGTACAAAACTATGCTAGTAATTTTGAAGCTTATATTACGTAATATTATTATATTTCATAGTATATATTCATGCATTAAAAGCTTCATTTTGATGCTTTTCAAATTGATATTTATATGAGGTTAATAATGCGGTATAACGTTCGGATACTCCTTTAAAATTTGTTTTTCATATATTAATTATTTACATACCTGTTTATAAGCTAAAACAAACATTTTCCTACTAGCAAAGTTACGCACTTGAGGCTCTTAAAGCTTCAATAGTATGTATTGAGCTTTACCGACCCTTTTCGCGAGGGCTCGTATAAAATATAGCCAGCAACTGGCGATTTCTTTGCCGGGCAGCAATAATATTATGACATATTACCTCGCACGACCTTTTCTTTGCTTTTTTCCTATTTTCCCATTTCAATATTTGTACCTACTCATATAAAATTGGGGAATAGTTTATTATTTATAACCTTCTTTGTATATTTTCTAAAATAACCTAATGTATTAAATATTATGTAGCGAACATTGCTTGTATAACGTCTCTGTGTGTTTTACTTAATTTTAGTATATTTAAATCATTGAGGAAATTTTTTATTGTTTTTCTTCGACGATGCAATTTTCAATGTTATAATAAAAGGCCTTGCGAATACAAAGTACAAACCTTAGTAAGAGTCATTAGTTATTGCGTTACGTAACTTTCCTTTAGGTACTATCTTCTAATAATTAACTTTTAGTTTACGAGATTCATCATATTTATTATCATCACTGGATATCATCAATATATTTCTTTAAAATATTACAAATGTTATTAGTATTAAACAAATAAATATAATTAATAATTTTAATAGTTATACTCGTAACTACAATAGAAGGCCCTACTTATAAAATATAACTACAATAGATAATAATAACAATATCTTATCGCTATTGTTCCGTCTCCCGCCTTTGCAAAGCGCGGGAAGGGCGCCATATTGCCGTCGCCATGTCGGCGGAAGTGACGCGCACGTGAGCGCCGCTTCCGGGAAGCATTCAGTTCCACGCAGTTCAATGTCACAATATTGTCTACGGTTCAATTAATTGCAATTTTAACTTTGATTCTTGAAAATTCTCGTTAATGAATTAACTGAAGTTAGTATTTAGAGGATTTGAGTTGATTCAGATGTCGTTTTCGATTTGTTAAATAAACTAATTAATTATATATGTCTTTACATTCAGTAGGCAAGTATTACTCTTTATAACGACGATTTTGTTATTACAAAAATGGAATATTTAATGAAACACACTGGAGTCACGAAAAATAGTACAGTTGTAAAAATTTACATTTTTTTAAATAAAGTAAACAATGCCTACAGAAATATTCATTTGGAATTATCAATGTAATTAAAAAATTAATATACATACTTACAACAATTTTTATGGTAGAGGAAAAACTACAACTTTTCGCAATAACATGACTTTACTTCAGATGTGAATTATAGTATAAAAATATTAATTGCTAGTGACCCTCGTTTAGCTGGATGCATCCCTATGTGCCAAACAGTCTATATGTTTCTCCAAGTCATAGTTTATCGAAACATACGAAACCGCCCGAAAGAGTAACAAACCCACAACACACACACACACATACAAACTTTTGTATATATAATAGTAGTTAGATAGATGACTTTTAACAACCTAAAACTAACAATCTCTAAACATCAGGTATGGTTCTCGAACCGGCGAGCGAAGTGGCGGCGAGAGGAAAAGCTACGTAGCCAGCGCAGAGACGCGCCCGCCTCGCCGCCCGCACCGCCCGCCCGCCTGCCGCTGAACGGCGGCTTTAACTCCATGTACAGTCCTATACCACAGCCTATTGCTACTATGAGTGATACGTACAGGTAAATATGCACTTTTATTCTATGAAATATACGAATGGACACACTTGAGTTTGTTTTAGGAACTCACGTGTGCTCATTCGTGTATTTTTTTATTTTGCTATAACATTTCAATTTAAATATCTCTATTTAAATTGAAATGTTGTAGCAAAATAAAAAAAATACCGAAATTAGCTCTAATTTCGGTACTTAAATTTTAGTATGATCAATTCATGCTATATGGGAGTTATTGGCAAATTCTGTTCCGTAAAACGTGTTTGAGAAATAAATAACAATGTAAATTAATCCGAACTAAGTCTATGGTTTAAATAGTTTCAAAATCGTTTACATTCCTATTACTAATTAATAGATTTAATCGTTAACAAAATCTTACACGCAATATAGAAACGTGTGAAACGTGAACATTCTAACGCCATCTATTATCCAGAGGGGGCACTAATTAAATAGCGCGAGAAATCGTGCGGCAAACGCAAAGGTCGCGCCTCCTTGCCTTTCCCGCCATGCACGAGACGCTAAGTTGAGCGCCGAAGGTCGCCCTTCCACTCGAATTGATTTTTAATAGTGAATCGACGGGCTTTAACTTTTGTCGAAGCAAATTAACTTAGTGCGACGAAGTTTCCTCTTTAACTCGGTCTACGGTATTTTATCACATCCTCTTTATTGGTTTTCAAAACTTTGACTGCTTTTTCTTTTTAAGTTCTAATAGTAAGACATAGTTGGAGGAGCATTTTTTAAATAATAACTTGTAATTATTACTAATAAGGAAAACTAAAACAAATCCATTCCTCGGGAACCGTATATTTTTCCGGGATAAAAGTGACCTATACTCCAGACTATAATCTATCTCTGTGCCAAATTTCGTCCAGATCCGTTCAGAGCCGTTCCGTTGTGAAAGAGAAACAAACATACATACTCACGAACTTTCACATTTATAATATGTATGTATCTAGTAGTAAGATGTATGGGATTGATAATAGATACGACAATATTTCATTAAAACCCACTCATTGATTACCATTACTGGCAGGATCTCGATCCTGCCAGTAATGGTAATGACTGTAATGGTATGACTTGATGCCATCTTTTTAGTAGTTCCGATTTTAGTTACAGTTGGCAGCTACCAATGCTGCTGGAAAATATCAATGGTTAAATATTCATACTGAGAACTATTATATAAGTGAAACAAAACATCATATATTGACAATGCAATTTTCGACAGCTCTATGTCTGGCGGACTATCCTCTTCATGTCTGCAGCAACGTGACAGCGGCTATCCCTACATGTTCGGGGATGTGCTCGGGAGTGGAGGCTACTCGAGAGCGCCGGCGGCACATCAGCAACACGCTGCCTATTCACAACCCCAAGCCGCTGCCAGTACCGGTGAGCTATTTATTTTTATTTAGGTATTTTAAATACTAACGCCCTTCGTATTTATAATATTACAGAAATCCTTAAAACGGAGGACTTTTTCGGACTTAATTCACAAATGTCATCATACTGGTAGCTTATTTTTGCAGTAGGTATATTTATAAATTATAGCCTATAAACTTTATAGATATGTAAATCTTCTTCATATTGGTGAAAACTGTAAGAAAATCCATCGAATAGGTACTGAGATTAGTATAAACTTAATAGTTCAATAAAATTATGTGAGACAAAATGTTTTGACGATTTCATGCAGCCAGTGTGAATGAAGGCTTTAGTCTTGTTATATTTTATACCTAGTTTGATAGAGCTATATAGTTTGAATATAAGTATTATAACTGACGAGAAGTCTTAAGTATTTTTTTACAGTCAAGATTACTTAATGTCATACCGTGGCCACTTAATAAGCTGCATTAAATATCTCTATGCAAAAATCTCGACATCAATCTGTCGTTAATAAATATGGAAAAAATAATGAATTAAAGAAAAACAAACATTTTGACATTTAGTTATTAATTTAGGAGTCAATGATATTTAAACGAATTAAAATATTTGCATTTGATAATATTGAAAACTAAAAATAGTTTTCATTATATTGTATACGTAGTAAATAGCTATTTTTATTGTTATTGATGTTAAGAAATAAGTTACAATATTCTTACTATAATAATTAATTAAATTCATTCAATTATAAACATTAAATAACTTAAAAACTCCTCAGATGTCTTAACAGAGTTTTCTAATTTTATTTCTACAAGTAAAATGTATACAGCTTCTCGAGAAACGTTACAAAATCGGCAAAATCAAGGCTTGGAAAATATTTACCAACTTCGTAATAAAATGTAAAAAACGCTGAGTCAAGAGCAAGGGGCGTCTGGCTCACAAGACCGCGACATGACGGGAAACAAAAAATAAAAGGAAAAAATAGGAGCTCAAGCCTCGATTGGATTTGCCGTTGTCTGTTCCTTACAAATGGCTTTTAAATTGATTTTGAATATTGAATGCTTTTGTTAACAAATAGTAGAATTGAAGAGCACTTTCGCATGTTTGTCTATGGTCCTTCCATTTTAATGTGGACCTCGACCAAACTTTGTATTTCTCCAATTGCCGACGCGTAAACGCCTAAAAGTAACATAAACATAGTAGATTTATTAGTATTCAGCAAAAGAACAAACTGCGAGGCGCTGGCGTTTCCATTGTTTTAAAAAGCTATAACTTTTCCACTTGATATTATATATCATGCGGCGGACATTTTTAGCCGTAGGTGGCGGAAAGCGGTATGAATTATTGTTGTTTGGGGCGTTTTCATTGTTCCACTGCAGAGTTTTCAGCAGTAACCGCGAACAAAAGAGTTTTTCACAATTCAAAATGCACGCTCTCGTTTCATTTACTCTTTTACGCTCTTTCGACGGGTGCATTTCCAGCTTCGCGCGGTATTAATAATACGGATTTATTCTACTTGCTTTTCGGTTTCGGTCCTTTGCGATTTTAATCAGTACTTGCGTTTATTATCCTTTCCAGGCAAAAATAATCCCATTTTGATTTAGCAAAAAATTAGATTAGATTAGATTGAGATAGATGATTTGAGATTAGATTAGATATATAAATACCACAAAACCAATTTTAGGAGATACTTAAGACTTCATACCCATCATTCCTTTAATATGTTGGCAATAAAAGCCATATTTCTCAATATAACGTCATAAACAAGGGGGCGGTCATAGACACAGACCATTGACTAAACGAGTCTCGACGGAGCTGTTTAAAGGCGATAATATCATGTAATGAATGTAAACGGTTACCCTTCTGAGCGGAGTGTTATCGCGAGCTCGCACGCGGTAGCGATATAGAAATATATAGACTGAGCCAGACGACTGTAAATAATGTGCGATACATCAAATGTTCAATGTCTTCGAGAGATTTTATTTAACGTTTTGCTCTGCAATATATAGTAAATAGATTTTTGATAAAACTTTTGAATTAAACTAAAGTATGATTGGTAACATAGTTAATATTTAGTAAATGGGGAAAGAATAACGCAGTTGATTCTTTTATAATTATTTCGAGAGAATTACTTTTATAATTAAACTAAAAACATATTATACATCCACACTTCCATATCCATACTAATATTATAAATGTGAAAGTGTCTTTGTTTGTTTGTTTGTTTGTTTGTTTGTTTGTTTGTTTGATAGTTTGATCGTCCTTCTTTCACGTCGAAACGGAGTGACAGATAGACGTGATTTTTTGTGTGGAGATAGTTGGAGGACTGGAGAGTGACATAGGTTACTTTTTACCGCGCGAGATCATCTTATTCCTGTGGGAAAACACGTTATAATACAACCAAAAAATATTTATCATCAGAATTACTTGAAACTTGGTATTAACGCTCTTCAATTGAGGTTAATAAATATATGTTTTAGCATTTTTCGATATTCATCCAAAAAGGGGTAAAATAGGGGATGAAAATTTGTATAAAAACTACCTTTTTAGAGTTATTTTGTAGTTTTAGCGCGAGCGAAGCCGCAGGTTCTGCTAGTATGTATATACCATAGGAATATACTATCATAATTTAGATACTTGGTTATAAAATTGATTACCATATCATAGAAGACATTAGACACGTTATAAGCCTCAATCAAATTTCATCATACATACGCCACATAATCTAATACGAAACCTATTAACGTCATGTATCGGTATCAGTCCAGCCATATGTCTAATAGGATTCCAATTGCATTCAGTTTATTACACACAATCGCGTTATATGGACACAGTATGCCGTGCGCTCGTGCCGTTAGTCATGAAGCTACATGTAATACGAACACTACGATATGGTTCATACGTAACGTCACGGTGGGATGTTAGTATGTAGTTATTATATTTAGGTCACTGTGAGAAGTTCTACTTAGTGTATAATATAGTTTAAGTGAAATGATTTAGTTATTTTTCTCTTATTTTTAAAATATTATTTTATTGTGCTGAGTCAAATATAGTATCGTTCTCATTTACAATATTGTTAGTACCTATATCTGATGGGATTTATTACCAGGCTACCATGCTCTAAACAAAATGCATATGAGCATCAAAAGCATTTGCCTTATGTGATAAAATGAATCTTCGACCTCCTCAGTACCTATTACGAATTGCCCAATTGTAACGTTTGGTGTATAATCATATTCTAACCATTAAATTATAAATACCCTCACTTTTACAAATCGGAAATATATAAAAATCCTACTACAACATTATTATACCTACACTCGTACATCGGAGGCCTTTTCTACATGTTAAAGCAATTTAAATAACATTTTAATATTTCTCCCCTAGGTGTGATATCGGCGGGCGTGAGCGTGCCAGTGCAAATACCATCGCAGGGGCCGGACCTCGCGTCCAATTACTGGGGACGGCTTCAGTGATCTCAGCTTTTCGGGTTCTCGCATCGACTTCTCTCGATGCCTGACAACCCGAATACAGTACCAGAGTCGCCATCTAGCGACATCGCGCACAACTACGCAGACTCATTGTCTATGAACGCCCTCAACATGACAGCCGGCCATGACAGTGCCGTTTTGGCGGGAGATATCCAAGAAAACAACTCTGTGTCATAAACTATTTTATTAATTCAGTGTTTCTATGGTGCGTTGTTATTTACCGCTAAGCAACTGATGATGTTCAAATAATGGTAAGTGGTAAGTTTTCGTACACCGTGCTGCACCGGGCTGCTGTGTATCTCGCGGGTCTACTGTATACGTTGTTGTGTACTTTGCCTAGGCAGCATGTTTCATCGTGTACGGACTAGCTAGGAGACGGCGGCATTGTATATATATAAAGCGCCATCTATTGTTGAGTAGACGAGGCTCCTCGAGAGCGTCTCGACGAGGAGTTAAATGTAAATTGTTTGTGCCAACGTTTGTAATGATTAAGTTACGCGCCCTTCGCGTACAACCCTTTTATTTCTTTGATGTATGCAATGGGGGTGCAAAATATTAATGCTATAGAGAAAAACGTGGCAATAAGCTTCGTTACGGCGATTTGTTTTCCACCCCTGCAGCAAATTGTCATACAAACTGAACGTGTTTGTATATTTGTATAATAGTAACATTAATAGATGTCGTAATGTGTTGAAGTCGCAAACTTACAATAGAAAACCTCGAAACGAATTAATTTATGTTATTTATTACGATAATTAAGATGTTGCTGTGATTAACTTAGGTAGTTAGATTTATTTTTACCGTTTCAAAGATATTGGGAACACTTGACGAAATTCAAATATACATGTATACATAAATAGTGTATTAAGTTTAAGTTCTAGTGCAGCACAATTTCTCATGTTATATGGAGTAATGTAAAAATGCTAATATATTTTCATTGAATGCAATACGGACGGTGTAGGCGTGTAATCTAGTTTGAAAATAAGTGTAAAATAAATTATTATTCGATTATAAGTGCATATAGATTGAGAAGGTTACAGTGAAATTTAATAAATATCGCATTAACCATTATTCCTTTGTTTTACTTTGATCCCCTCAAAAGTAACATAGTAAACTATGGACCCTCGGTTATATAAAATTATTTTACTAATGGTAGAAGTTTATAAGTCTATTATATATTTGCCAGATGTATTTTAATTCTGCAAAGGGTAGAAATATGATCGAGTGGGTTTAATGTTAATAACCTCATAACAGATGTTACGAGTTTGTACAATAAAAGTGGCGCCATCTTACAATCAGTAGGAGGACCTAATTCTCATTAAATAAAAGCTAATAGTTAATATAAATATGTAATATAAATGTATAAAAATTTGGTAAAAATATTTTTTATGTGGTTTGTACCTATTAAACTAAAAAAAATCAAACAATATAATAAAAATAAACTAAACAATAACCGCTAAAAAACCTGTCATCAAAACACAATACTTGATGACCTATTATTTTTTAACATAGAATATTTATATTTTATATTAACAAGTAAATATATATATATATATATATATATATATATATATATATATATATATATAAACTATTTCGCTATAACTTCTTTCTAAACAAAGTAAATAATAATAATTTTAATTGCACCACCAAAAAAAAAACTTTTACATCTGACTAGTGATAGCGACTAGATTGACTCCCCATGCAAACTTTCGTCGCCATTTTCACCCACTTAAGGGATGATTTGCGGGATAAAAATTATCCTATGTCCTTAACAGGGTTTCAAACTATATTCTAAATTTCATCTAAATCGGTCCAGTAGTTTTTATGTAGGAGCACATTTGGAACAAGCAAACAAACAAACGAAAAAGCTTTCCTCTTTATAATATTAGTATAGACAAGACAAAAGTGTAGACTATGCTCTATATTATTTTCTAAATTCAACTATATTTCGGGCGGTATTATATTTTGCGTGTTGGCACTTTACATGGGGTTGCACCGAGGGTTGCACAATGGACGGATTAAATTGGCGTTATACTGATATGAAGTGAAGCGTATACAGTGTGGTAATTAACATTTATGATAATTATGTATTTTCGTAAATGTATAGTTACTTATATAAGACTTTAAAAGCTATTATCGTTTGAGCTTACGAAACTTGCCTTTATCACATCGGCGAAAAACGTTCGGAAACATATATATGTTGTAAATTTGCTAAGAATCCTACTATATGTATATTTCATACACATACATACATACAGGTAAACACATAACCGTCAATTTAGGCTCCCCACAGACGGATAAAACAATATTAAAAGACGCCAGTTGTACCAAATATATATTGATATATTGAATTTTAAACTTCATCCCTTTTAAACTATATTGTGTAGCTATAATTTGATTCTATTAAAACTGTCTAAATATGTTCAGAGATCAAGTCCCTTTACATCAGCAAACAATTGCAGGGATTATCGACGCTTATAATTGGTTTAGATGTCTGTCTGTCCCCTCATACGGGCGCAACTGCGTTTGATTACAATGCTTTCATCTTATTTAGCTACATCTGCGGTTTTTAATGGTAAATATAAGGTTGATTTTTATATTTATATATAGAAAGTTTACACACTATAGTTTTTTACGTTTTGATGTACAATCGAAAATAGATACCTATTTTAAAACATAATTTAGTAAAAGTTACATTTTTAGTAAAACAAGTATGGAAACAAATAAATTTTTATTACATAATAATGTAGGGTGTAACACTGGAAATCAACAATTACTAAGCAGTCTTCGAAACTATCTATACATAACGAACTATAAAGTACAAATCACAAAAAAAACACTTAATAAAACGTCATGGTATTTTTAATTTAAATAAAACATGCGCTAAATATGAATATTTTGACCGATAAGTCACATTTTTTATCAAATATGTGTAATTAATATTGTGTGGCTGAATTATGTGCTAGAAAAAAAGGCGAGTAAAACTATAGAAAATAAACATTTATTTAAACATTAAGTATTTTAAAACAATAAACTTTACCTATTAAATTCGTTTTGTTCAGTACTACATACAAAATAAAACAAAATATCACTTGTAATATATTGGCACAAGTACATTTGACTACTTTTCTGGACTATATTCGTAATTATAGGGAATATCATATAGTCAGTGCAAAAACGACTTAACCCCCTTTCTAAATTATTAACAAAATGTTCTATATCTATATAGATAAATAAAATTAAAGTGTCTGTTTGTAATGTCGAAATAAGTTTTTATAAGAAAAACATAATTTTTAACATTTTTGTCTGTCTGTTTGTTCCGGTTAATCTCCGAAACGGCTGGACTGATTCTGACGAGACTTTCACTGGCGGATAGCTGATGTTATAAGGAGTAACTTAGGCTACTTTAATTTTTGAAAAAGAATTAGGGTTCCTCTCAAAAAAATATACCTAAAGACGCGCCCAGGCGAAGCCAGGTAAGTACGTAATAAATAAATTTATTTATGTATGTATACATATTTTTACTATAGCTATATTCAGACTTCATTTATATAAATATATGCCTACTATATAAACATATTAAAAATATTGCATTATAATTGTTAAAGAGATTAGGTCACTTTTGCATTGTACAAATTTTAACATTATTTGATGGTTGTATGTAATGTATATTAAATCTATTAATTCATAGAAAAACTAACATGTTGAATCGCCTATTTGGCAAGCATTTAGACCGTCTTTAGAAACTTGTTTTTATTTGACAACAGCCTTTGGCATTCGTAAGTATAAAACTGCAAAACAATAATATCACATCGATTTTGATGATTGACATACCTGTAGAAACTTATATAATAATATAGACTTATTATTAATGATTTTTATACTATATTTAAGCAGCAAATAACTTTTATGCCTAAATAGTAGGTATAGCGATATCGAAGAATCTAATATAACCAATGTAGATATGTATCTACTTAATAGATAGATGTAGCTATAAATAGCTGAAGTCCGCTTAAGATTTGATTATATCGAAAATTACAAGTGAGAATATTATTAATTAATAATAATGATTATATTATTAGAAGATTATTACATTTTCGATATAAAGATGAGCGTTTTAATGAAATTGCCTTATTTTATGATCTGGCAATGAAAAGATTTTTTTCTAATTTCTATAATTTTTATTGAAACTACTAGGATAAAATTCTCCTGTCACAGTGTTTGAAACAAAACTCCTCCGAAACGATTTGCGACTGATTCTTATGAAATTTTGTGTGTATATTTAGTAGGTCTAAGAATAGGACGTAAACTATTTTTCATACCCCTAAGTGATAAGGGTGGTCAACCCAAAAAAAAAAATTTTTGCACAAATTTTTTTATTTTAATTTTTTTATGATTCGGAATTAAAAATGCAAAAAAACCTAAATTTTTCCTAAAGACGAACCCTAACGGAACGAGGGTGAGTCGCTAGTTATTATATAATTTCGATCGGTCGATATTTTTTTTTCTATTACTAAATAAGCTTTATAATATCAGCATATAACAATAAAATAGATATGTATATGTAATATTAAAGGTACATAGTTGAAGGCTGAAGCATATCTAATATAAGCTCACAGATTAAACAATTGTAGAAGTGATATGGAGAAACTTCAATCTTATATTTATTTATGCTAATAATGGCGCCCGTTCGGTTTGTGCGATCATGGTCGGCGAAATAGGAGGCATTGTGTCATATCTGAAAAATACAATACGTTAAAATTACTACATTGTATAAATAATTAAAAAGAAAACTAAAATAAAAGGATATTAAAAAAGTTATGTTTTTGAAATTTTATTGGCGAATGTAATCAATACTCAAATGAGGATTAGATATGTTTTTTAAAATATTTCTATGTAAAATCATTTAATAACATCATACCTACTTTTATAACATGTTCTTCTATAATAATTTACTTGTTTAAAAATAAAAAAATCTAAAAAGTAATCATAAAGGCAGTTCATAATAAATATGATCATAATAAGAATGTTCTTTAAATTAGTATTGATATACAAATATAGTATATGTAGTGTCATTAAATATTTATCAAACCTGCACTTAAATCCCTAAACCAAATTACTTTTAGATATTTAAACACAATAATACATACCGTCGTCGTCTTGGTTCCACTGTTCCGTAGTAAGTACTAGGGACCTGTCTAACACTTCGTGGTGGTGGCGGGAATGGGGGTCGACTCCTATTATGGAAGTGTTGAAACAAAAACCCTGACATCGCAAGTGATATCCACAACAAGGTTATTAGAGCATCTGAAATATAATCTTTAGTTAATGATTATTACGATTAAGTAAATGTTCGATAAATAACATTTTTATGTGCAATGATCTGAGAGAACCTAGCAAGTTTCGAAATTAGGTGAAATCTGCCAACCTGTTTGGCCAGCGTGGTGAACTATGGACTGATCTTTCTAGTACTGAAGGAAGGCCTGTGCCCAGCAGTGGGACGTCAAAAAGGGCTTCATTTATACATACATACGTGTGCAATAATTGAAATCGTGACTTATAGAGTAATATGAATAATAAAGTAGCTATTACGACGTTAATGAGGTAATATTATATGTCCTTTGTGTGTAACACGTTCTCGTTTAAGACGCACAAAAAGATACATACTCGTAATTCAAAACCGGAAAAGAGACAATATTGCTGTGCAGTATCTCATGGTCTAATAATTTCACAAAAATAAACAAAATAAAGAGAATCATTCATTCATCATTCATTCACTTATCCACAAATTTCGTACATAACATACCCTTAATAATAAACATACCTTTACTAAAAGTGATGGAATTTGGAAAAATATAATAAAAAAAACCTCACCCCTCCATTCAAAAGGCGGCGAAAGCACTGCCTTATTGAACTGTGGTACCGTTGCCCTTCGAATTGTATTTATCATTATATATTTCAAATTAGACCCTAAGTAATAGTCCATAGGGTATATTGTCGCGTACGCGCCAAGTATGGCACAGCACAGTATGTTAGATAGAAATGTCATAGACACGAGCATGATCGACATCATTAGAGCGATAAGTATAAATAGCGCCCAGAAATTTAAATCCAACTGTAGAGCTATTAGACCACCTGCAATAAATTATTATTAAACATATTTTTTAAATATAGTCTGTATTTTTTAGTCTAAAGATAAAACACAGTCTTTTTCCACACTTAAATACGCCGAAATAAACACACTATTTTTACTCTACGCAAAAACCAACAAACACACTTACACATTTATTATATTTGTAGGTAATGAAAAAAAAGTTTCACGTCCCACTACAGAAAGTAATACGTTTACATAGAACAATCATTTTTTCTTCTTTTCAGGTTTTTTCGTGCTACTTAGGTTTAAGAAAGCAGGTATTTGGTTCTCATCTAATAAAGATATATTGTAAGACAAATCTATGCTAAATATACATATTTGCGTGCGGGTGTCGAACCTGTAACCTCATGTAAAATAGGCAGTGCCAAATTCATCTCCTTCACTGTATCATGGCAACCATTATAAAAGTCATGTACCTATATACTTTCACCTATATATGTATATAGCACTACTATCATAAACGTAAAAGTTTGTATGTGTGTATGTTCGTTAATCCTTCACACTGAAATGGCTGGACGGATTTGGATGTTTAGTAATACAGATAGTCTATAACCTTATTTTTGTTTTCTTTGGGGAAATTCATTATGGGGACCCTGCCGATCGTCAATGGTCAGGGTACTGTGAGACTCCTACTCACTAAAACCTACAGCGGAACCCGTCGCCGCAGTGCAACGGGGCGTTGCTGGATCGCTTGCGAATTCACTACAACACCCTTAGATAGTCTATAACCTGCAGTGACACTTAGGTTACTTACTTAACATTAGGAAAACAGAGAAACACCCGAACAAAGCAAGGATAAATCGTTAGTAAATTATAATATTTGATACTTTTAGAGATCACTCAAAGAGAATGATGGGTTATCTTCTCATATGACTGCGCTGGCATTAAATTACGTTTTATATATTACTTAAGTTATTATTTATCCTTGTATGGTAAATAGTAGTAATTGTATTCAATAAATATCATTGACCTTAGCACGTAATTTATATGTTTGTTTATAATATACGCTCGGACGCGTGTTACTTTTTAGTCCAGATCTTGAAATAGGTCTATCGTATTCATATATTTCATTTCAAACTAGAATAGCTAGATCTATAGAAATAAAACTAAGATGTATATATTCAGACCATAACATATATAAAAATAAGCCTTTTTTTATATTTACGTAAATATTTGACATTTTAAATAAATCTTTTTGGATTCTCGGGACGGGAGTCTCTCCCGTGACCATGATTACTGTAAAGCATTCGAAACGTCGGGAACAAAAAAATCTAAATAAATCCGAGAAAAAGTCCGAAAAGATAGATTTATTTAAAAATAATCCCGTCGAAATACGCCAAGTCATTTTAATGTGTTATAGTGATCATACTATTTTCAACTAATTTAGTTACATAATTATTAATTAACCTTACATTAACGAACATTATTTTACTTTTATTACATCTCCAATTGCATTTTTAAATAAAACCTACGGTAAATATATGAAATATATATTAAAAATAACATATTACCTGGTAAACCATAATATATGATGGCGGAAAATAAGAATCCAACGTTCAGAGTAGAGAGAAGAACAGCAATGAGCGGAATTCCGTAGAACCACCAAAACAACAACCAAATCGCTCCGAAACATATCCCGGAGAGTACGGAAGCGCCTAATAGAGCTACAAGGCAATATCGTATTAAGTAGGTTTTTCACTATCTAATTATATAGTACTATAGTACATATTAAAATTTAAAAATACTTACATATAATAAAATATATATTGTAATACATATTTGTACATATTGTAATAAATATATGGCCTTCTGACCGATTTCGGTCAAGGCGGTCAATCTCACTGAGACTAGCTAACTTAACACAGACAAAAGTACATTCAATATTCATATAAATCTCGTATTTCGGTGTGACGACAATTCGACATGACCAGTGAAAGATCAGGCGCAGGACATATGCATACGTGCTTTCCAAAAGACGATGGTGTAACACTAGCAAATTCCAATTCAATGGCTATTTTAATTATTTACCCCGATTTGGGATTCGAACCCAGCACCACTCGATCTTCAGTCGTACTTAAATACCTATTCAGCTACTAGAGAAGTCAAAGACATACAAGAAATAAATATCAGAAAATACTATTGTATTACATACATTTCAAGCTAATATTTTAATCATCAGAATCAGATATATTTTTACCTACTATAAAACACGAACATAGAAAGTATTTTTTTCAATTTAATTCAATTTTCCTATTAATGGCTTTAAAGTGTCCCAGTTGAGCAAATTATTTTTATTTATGATAGAAATATTAGCCCAGTACGATTCATTATGCGCATACACATAATATGTACGTAGAGACATAGAGACACGTTTTCTTTCATTAAACTTAATCTAACATATAATTTATTTATACGAGTCTATTTTGTATTTAAAACCTTAAGTGTTTAGTATCATCGTTTTTTAAATTGATATAAAATTTGATAGATATATTTTATACTTCTGAAAATCCAGTAAAAATTGGATTATTTAATTTAATTAATACTAATATATTTCGAATAGTAAAATAGGTTGTCATAACGCATATTTACAAAATCTTTAAAAAATCAAATATTTTTCTACTATTGCCTGTAGGCATAGAAAAATATTTAAATAAGGAGGGCGGCCTTGAAACTAGTCGTAATTATAAAAATAACGAAAAAAACTTTGATTATAACATAATTTAGAAGTTAGCGACTTCTTATGATTTTTATTTAATTATTATTTACTACTGCGACTTTAGCTTGATACGCTTTGCATTGAGGCTCTTGCCCAAAAGTGGGATGTTAAAAAGGGTGGAAACAATATACATCTATACTTAATATTATAAAGAGGTAAAGTTTGTGAGATTGTGAGTTTGTGACGTTGTAGGGGAGTAATCTCTGGATCTACTGAACCGATTTAGATGAAATTTGGTAAGAAGATAGTTTGAGACCCTGGCAAGGACATAGGATACTTTTTATCCAGGAAATCACCCCTTAAAGCAAGCTAGGGACGAACCCTAGCGAAGCGAGGGTGAGTCGCTAGTATTATATATTAGAGATGTTAATTTTTCTTAATTGCTAATATCATTAGGTATATTAATTACATTATTAATCTAAAAGCACTTCAAGATGCATAAATTTTTTTACAACAAAAGCGAGAACTGAATTTCGAAACAAAATGAAAATCTGCGTATCGTGATACCTTATACTAAGCTAATAATGTTTATAAAAAATTGTTAGAAAAATATTTACTTATATAAGTAAGTATATTTTGTAAACTCATACCCATCCCCTAAAGAGAAAATAGGTAAGTGGATAATAAAAACCTCATTAGTTCGTTTACTGTTTCTGTAGTATTGAAAATTTAAATATTGCGTTTTAGAAACACAATGTTCTATTATGTAACCTATTCTGTGCAGGTATCAAACCTACGACCGCCACCAAAAATTTTATTTAAAATATGAATAATAAATACTACTATTTTAATATTAAACACTCACCAGGCGTTTCCAAATCAGCAATAAGAGAAATGAGTATAAATGTTAAAATAAATCCACTTATCAATCCCACTAAAAACATTTCAGTCTTGAAAAATCTATGCCCAAAAAAGCATACAAACAATCCAATAAATATTAGAGAGGCACATAGCATTTGCGAAAAGTAGTCATCTAAAACAAAATGTTGATTTTAACTTAGTTACACAATTATTATACATTTTATTCTATTTTTATTGAGAATAAGAGGAAAAATACCAACAATTTCTGTTGTTATAGTTTCTATATGTTGTTCTATATGTTGTTATATTTCTATATGCTAGGCGTTTCTGTGTTCTTTAAAATCAGGTTAGCGGCTTCGTCGAAATAGTAATAAAATAATAATAAGGTAGAACACACAAATTAATTTTTACTAATAAAAAAAGAGCAAACAGGCAAAAAAAGGTACCCTCATATAAAGTGGCTTACAAGAGATATCTATCTTCCAAATAATAGTTTTACTATTAATAGTCTCAGAGGAAAAGTGTCTGTGACATACAGACAAATCGACATAACATTTTAGCTAAAAATCTTTAGACACCTAAAATTTTATTTATAACGTACCTAATAATTCGCATCCCTCTTCTTCCAACGGTGAGCAAGCGTACGTTGAAGTTGGTACATATAATGAGTAAGAACTTGTATTTTTTGAACTGATAGCCACAGCTACATATACTGCGCCTGTGCCAGGATACGCACTAAGCATGCGACGCATACCAAGACCATTATCAGGTACCTAAAAATGGTCTAAGTTCTCAAAAAAATTTAGAAACAAACTAGGCTTAACTGAACTTTTAAAATCAATATGAGTGATGAAATTCAAAACTGCGGAATAATAGATTTTTAATGAAATCTGTTGTTTTTTAAATAAAAACTAGCGACTCACCATCGCTTTGTTCGAGATGTTTTATTAATTTTGAGCGAAACCCTTATTCTTTTTCTAAAATAAAAGCAGTCTATGTTACTCCATATAACATCTGCTATCTTCCAGTAAAAGTCCTGTCAAAATCAATTCAGCCGTTTCAGAGATTATCCGGAATAAACAGAGAGACAAAAATAAAAAAAAATCTTATAAGTCCTATATTTGAACTTAGCTATGCTAAAGCCAATGCTAAGATCTGAATTATAGATAGAACTTATCTTGATGATGAGCGCTGACATGCTGGTATGCTATGACATAAGATAAAAGCCTTAAATATATGTATATATATGTATTTTAAAATAAATAATACAGTTTTTTGAAGTTATACTTCTTTTAGCACATTAGGGGAAAAAATGATGGGTTTTTTTTACAATGTGACAGATTTGGACTACAGAATGAAGTTACTAGTCATTAAATCTCCCTTTAGTATAGTGTGATTGTCTATATTCAAGATATTTATTTTAATGAAACTATTTTGTTGAAAGTAAATAATACTTACATATTCTCCAAAATCTTTAATGTTATCTAAAGTCATCAAACTTTTGATACCATCAAAATATGAATCCTCATAAAAATTTCTTTCTGGCAAATATACTTTGTAAAATAAAACAACAACTTTATCTATTGTATTACAAGTTTTGTCAGAAAAATCTTTAGCCATGGCAGCATCTACTAATATATAATTTTTATTATATGAAATTTGCATATATGGAGATGTTGGTACAGCAAATTCCATGTTACATCCACCCGGTATGGGATCTGTAAATAACCTTAATTTAATTTTACTTACTTACTATGATCCTTTATTGTAACAATTTAAATGCTATATTTTTGGTTTATATTCTTACATAGTACTTTGTAGTTGTATATAAAAATCATGTTAAAAGTAATATAGATTCATATGATAAAAATTATCTATCATCAATCACATTTTTGAATTGAACACAAACCTGTAGCTGCATATCCATGTACCGAGATGTACAATTTCAAATTAACTGCATTTGGGTTATATATAAAAAATGTATCCAATTTTGGTTTTATGCTGCTATATAATCCTACATTAGTGCCAGACACATAGGAACCTCTTATTAATGTGTTGTTATATAAAGTGACATTATATAAGTGGCTGTGCACTTGAAATATGATAAAAGATACATTTTTATTGACATTCTCGAAGTCTATTTGCAATGTCGATGAGGAATTAAGATTAGTAAAACCATTGTACAGTTCTTTGTTTCCCAACGTTGTTGTGTTATTAAGAGGCAATGTAATGCTTATATCTGAAATAAAATATTGTATTAAAATTTTACAGAAAACTACACAAATTCAAAAATAATATATAAACTTCACAAATTTATTTATTACTAAGATTTATGATTGTATGTTGTAAAGAAAGAAGATACTATTCTTCATTATTTATACTTACTCTGACATTTGACTATCTCAGCAAAAAGAAATACTAATAGTTGTAAAAAGATAGTTTTAAGCATGATGGATATCAATAGAGCAATATTTAATTACTATCTTAATCTAATCGCTCATTTGAGTCACTGTTTCTTAGGTAAATACACTGATGAACAGAAAATACCGATGCACACACAATTCAAGGATGGTTATCAGCTGTTCATTTTGACAGCTACAAAATCAATGAGTGCTTTATTTGTAGATTGATTTTGAATCCAGCTGTCAATTGAAAATATACACGATATCATTGAAACAATGAAACTCAACTATAATCAAAACGAATCACAGTGAACTTAAAAACAGTGATAAATATAAAGAAAAACAACTATAGCTTTACGGCACTTTACATTCAAAACAACCTGAAGGCTGAATGACATACATATGAGAACGAATGGACTGAATGATAACATAATTTTACTGAACGAATGAAAGAAATACGAAGCACAAGATACGATAGCTTTATGAGTGCGAGCAAGATAGCCTATGCACTACAAAGGCCAGAGGCCTATTCATTTCTGACTTGTTTTCTCATATGTATACGTGTTTGGTTTTAGTTTTCAATATTTTTATAATTCTTATTTTAAATTATATTTATGTATCGAAACAATCAAACTTATTCAATTAGTAATTTTTATAAAAAGGTATAAGTTTCAGAGTAGGTCGAGTAGGCACTAGACAAGAAGTTGAATCTCGATATCGATTCCTTCACCGGCCGCTAGAGCGCACTCACGTCTAATCTAAATATGGCGGCGCGATCAATGAAGTTGTAGTGAGTAGTGAAGTCTAGTGTAAAAAATTGAAATGATTATATTTGTGTTGTATTTGTGAGTGGTGCATTCGATTAAATGGGCCATGGGAAAAGGCCAGGATTTATTGGATGCGGCGCGTAAGGGCGACGAGAAGAGTGTAGAGAAAATATTAGGGCAAATATCTAAAAGGAGTGGTCCCTTTCCAAGGTGGGTCTTTACATGTTTTTTAATGTTATTTTTACAAACTTAAAGATTTATGAATTAAAATTCTTTAGTAAACTCTTAAATTTTATCCTATTTTCAAAGTTTGTTGTTATCAATAGAAGACAATACTGATTGTGACAAGTCAGTTTCCAATGTTTACGTGCATATCTAGGTCTTATCTTGACTTGTAATGAATTTAAAGTTTGAATAAAATAGGTACACTACTCTTGCAATTTTCTTAACGAGCTCAACAACTAAAGAGATCTGGGCGGCAATTACCAATTAAAGCAGCAAGGTCTGAACAAATCTCATTTTAGATTTGTACTAAGATAACGTTAAATTATTTTTATAATTCCATTTTAAGGCATTTTCTTTCACGCTTCATAATCAGGTTTTTTGCATATTATACTATAAATAATGAATGCTAAATTTTGTTACCTACGTGTGTCAATATTGTTTTCCTTATGCACTGTACAGAGTATAGAACATATAGGTACCTATTTTATTCATAGGAAAATACATCGTTGTTTGCATAACTTATTTGCTTTTGAGAAGTCTGAAAAATATTTTCGATTCTGTGGTTAGAGTTAAAAAAATAACGAGTTATAAAGTAATTTATGAATAAAATTTTGCTTACATATTGTAATGTACATAAACGAAAATCAGACGATATATCGAGACCGGTTTCTTACATTGCACGGTTACACGTGATTAGACTCCTCGATTACATCAAACAATAGCTTAATTACTTCAACAATAACATTCATGTGTACAATGCATTGTTGCATGAGTTTTGCACACCATAAACTGGCGGGAAAAATAAAACGATGGCGGCAAGTTAATCGTTATCTATTTAAGGAAGTATACCTTAATGCTTTAAGTGTTTGGCTTGTTGCCAGCCAGCAATCGATGTTAAGAAAGTGCATTGAACCTATCCAAGTTTATATCCTATTATCCTACATAAAACACCTTTGTATGCAAGCCTGCACTTGACTGAAACCATTAGAATAACTAGACACTTAATGTCAGCCTTTTGGATTATTACATTTATTTTATTCAAACGTTAATATAAGTTATAGACTAATAATTATTATTTGGCTGAAAAAATTACGTATGTATAGTATATATATCCGTCCTTCATCTTAAGAACAAAAATAAAGACTACAAATATTATGTACTTACATCTAAAATTACCTAAATCGTTTGTTCCCTAATATCTACTTTAGCGATCTTACTAAATTCGCATCCTTTACGTGACTAACGAATTCCAAAGGAGACCTATTTATTTTTATTTTTTGTTTATTTTTAAATTTACGTAGGTAGGATGAGTATGAAAGTGTAATAAGTAAATAATGATAATTATGTTCTACATGTATTTTTAAAGCGTTTGTTTAGGTTTAGTTTTAGGTAATTAGGTATGTAATTAAAATCTTGGAAGTCGTTTTTAATTGTCGTATCGATTTGGAACTTGTAAGTACGTTCATTGTATGATCCGGATACAAAACAATAACTTAATATGACCTACGTCTCCTGATGATGGAGCCAGAAAGGCATGTGGAACTCCTTAATGGCTTTTACTAAAACAGAGTATCTATAACTATACATAACATTATGTCGACAAAAGAGTTATTCGTGTTTTTTCAAAAAATAAACAAAAAAATAGTATTTATTCTTAAAAATATGCACAAATATTTCATTATTTAAGGAGATTATCCACAACGTCAATGATAGTTTTTTTAGGAGGATTCAAATGTAGGCGCATGTAGGCGATAGTTATTTGTAATTTGTAACCTAGGTTTTGTAGGTTAAACGCTACCGGGCCGCTAGGTTTTTATTGCGGATGCCGCATCCCAAGCATTATGGACAGTTAAATTATTTTTATCTCGCTGGGACTAGCATTCATACGTGCTTTCGTATATATGTATAATATGTACATATGACCTGCCCTCATTTTGCTCAAGTTTCACACCGCATTTCTTGAGACGTTACTCCCATCTATGACTAGATTTATAGTAATTAAATATGACTTAAAATATCAAAAATGTTACATGCATTAACTGCCTCCAGTCATGGCATGTCAAAGACTGGGCGGTGTTCCACCGTGGAACACGTGGAATTTCCACGTTCTCCGTCGATGTAAATACATCGATTTACGATATATATTGATGTGCTCATTAGCACACAAGTCACAAAACAGATTTGGCTGCATGATCTGACCAACCCTGTACGTGAGTGTTGATTAACGTATGGGAGTAAGACAAAATTTTGCCAAACATTCTTACTGATGTTTTTAAGGATATTTTAAAATCATGTGACTTATAAATATTTTGTAGACGACCTCGTCCTTTTTGACAAAAAAACTTCATGACTTCATGTCATGGTGAATATCTTATATAGATAACATAAATCCTTATGCCAGAGTTGATGAAATGAGATGTAAGAGGAGGGCAACCAATATATCTTGGATACGTCGGGCGTCAAGCGAAGAATCGCATTTGGAAGGTGGCTCAACTCGGTGGGTCTCTCGAGGTATACCGTGTGGGTAGCTCCTGGTACTTCTCTGATAGCAGAGTGGACCGTGGGAAAATACTCCTGGACCCTGGTTGCTATGGTCTACCACGGTTGGCTAGCCGTGGGGACGTCGCCATTGAATGCGTAAGTAATCCTACGACGTCTCGTTAAGACTGGGAAGGTTCTGTTGGGTTTTTTTAGTGGGTAGTTACTAGCTTTTCTAGCCAGTGTGTCTCACCTGTGTTTATGCAGGTGGAAGAAATAAGTCTGCGCAAAGGATGAGCTAACATGTTTCTAACAATAATCATTTTTTTATTTATTTCTTTGTTGCGGCCATCACATAAAACTGCGAGCATATCTGTCTATTGTGATCGCCGCATGTTTTATGTAAATGGAACCACTGGTTCACGAGTTATAGATGTACGAAAGGACGGACAGACAGACGTTTTTATAGAAATATATATGAGGATTCTGTGATCAACTAGGTACTTGAATTTAAATATTTAAATATGCGATCACAATATTTAAGTAATTTACAGAAGTTCTGTACTCTAATGTTGTTACGACTCTGGATTTATTAACTTGGACAATTCTGCTGTTCTAATATTGACTTAGCATAAGCTATATTCGTTGTATTTAACTTTCATTGTATGTCTGTACGTTTATAGTATATAATATTATTATTGTTATAAATTTGAAGTAAGTATATTAATATAATAAAGACAAAGATGTATTTAATTAAAAGTATTTAGTATGTTCATTTATGGAACTCGCAAAAGAAAACCTATGCCTCATCGATGTTATGAACTTTTGACGTAAAAGCCAATGACTAATTCAAATGTTGTTGCTAGTTAATGTTGTATGTAACTTATTATAATGTAACGGTGATAACACTCTTTCATTAATTGTATATTTTGAATTATTCCTTCAATTGTATATTTTCAATCCTTCTGTCAATATCTACTTACCTAGTATTTCAAACCTACCTAAGTATATCTAAAAAATAAAGGAAATCTATATTAAAGTCATATCGATTTACTTATTGTTGAATCATGAAATCTCAGAAAGCTAAAAACTTGGTAAAAGTAGATTCTTCATAGGGAGAAGGTATCTGCTAACAAAGGATTTTTGACAAATTCATTCCCTCAAAAGGTTGAAAGGAGAAGGTTGGAAGTTTGTATGAAAATTCGCCACTTTCAAAGTTTCAGGGGTACAAGTACATTGTAAACAATCTTAAATAAACCTTAAAATTCAAAGTATTACGTAGACAGTATATCCTCTGGCTATTAAAATAGGTGCTAAATAAATTCTTCATAGAGAGTAAGCATCCATACTTCCATACTAATGTTATAAATGTGAAAGTGTGTTTGTTTTATTGTTTGTGTGTCCTTCTTTCACGTCGAAACGGAGAGAGGGATTGGCGTGATTTTTTGTGTGGAGAAAGTTGGAGGGCTGGAGAGTGACATAGGCTGTTTTTTACCGCGGGAGATTATCTAATTTCCACGGGAAAACACGTTATAATACAACCCAAAAAATATTTATGATCAGAATTACTTGAAACTAAATGGTATTAATGTTGTTTAATAAAATTAAATAAATAGGTACGTGTTTTAACATTTTTCGAAATTCTATAGGATGAATTTCGAAAAATGTTAAAAAGGGGTAAAATAGGGGATGAAAGTCTGTATGAAACTACCTTTTTAGAGATTTATTTGTAGTTTTAGCGCGAGCGAAGCCGCAGGCTCTGCTAGTATTTAATAAATTAACTACCACTTAATAAGCATAATCATTATTTTAAATCATTTTTATGAGCTCCACTTCTAACTAACAAACTATGTAATCACATCTTGGAAGTTGATTTTAACCTACTTTTTAACCGTCGTATCTATTTGAGACATGACGAGCATAGAAATCAGCATGACAATATGATAAATTGGTATTAACTGAACTGATGATCGTAGGTATAACAGGTATGGTAGACCGGTGAGGTGGTGGTACTGGTACCTACTCTAACTCCTCAATGCCTATTGCCCACTAGTAAAACTCAAGTTTACGTTCATCTTAATATTTTATTTATTTTTAAACTATGTACAATTATGTCCTTTATCTGCAAATGAATCTATTAAATGTTATAATATTGTTTCGAGTATAGATCTAGATATAGCATACGTATCCCCTTATAAAATATGCATGATTAGGGAAATTGAAACATGAAAGTGACGTAGGTATGTATAGGTTATGTCTCATTGACCTAGAATCTTTAATCTTGAACGGAAGGCGCCTTCAATGAGCAGAGAAAAATTACAAATTCTGATTTGAAGTGGGCGGTGCGGTGCAGTATGAACTTAATTTTGTTGTTGTTCTTACATAGATTTCAGTGAATTTCTGACACCTTATTGTTTATGAACACTTCGTAAGTCTTAACTTTTTCAATGAAATTCCTAAGTATCGTTTAGTATTTCGTACTTTATTTGATACAGTGCCCGCGGCTT